TCTCTACAAACAAACATTAGCTAGCATAAATTAGCCTCTACCAGGCGTCGGGAGACGGCTGAAAAGAGTAGAAATCGGCCAAATAGAGACTCTCTAAGACTCCACTACCCTGACAACTCGGTCAACTCGGTCAACTCGATCAACTCGGTCAACTCGGTCAACTCGGTCCACTACCCTGGTCAACTCGGTCAACTCGGTCAACTCGGTCAACTCGATCAACTCGGTCAACTCGGTCCACTACCCTGGTCAACTCGGTCAACTCGGTCAACTCGGTCAACTCGGTCAACTCGGTCCACGTACCCTGGTCAACTCGGTCAACTCGGGCACCTCGGTCCACTACCCTGGTCAAACTCGGTCAACTCGGTCCACTACCCTGGTCAACTCGGTCAACTCGGTCAACTCGGTCAACTCGGTCAACTCGGTCAACTCGGTCAACTCGGTCAACTCGGTCCACTACCCTGGTCAACTCGGTCAACTCGGTCAACTCGGTCAACTCGGTCCACTACCCTGGTCAACTCGGTCCACTTCGCCTACTCATCTGTCGCAAGCGACAGGAGATTCCAAGAAGATAACATTCCGAGGGAGCTGGTCCGCTAGAGAGTACATTTTGCCAGGTGTACTCTCTAGCGGACCAACTTCCCCAGCATTTTCTCTCTTTTTGGTCAATTTCTGCTCTTTCCTACCGACTCCCGAAGCCTGAAAGAGGCTAAGCATAAATGCCACTTTTCAAAGTAGAGTACCTCTGGCGCACAATGCGTACCGGTCCTGTCGTTCGGAACCAAAGACGCACCAATCTCCCGACTCCATACCGCAGGAGTTGTCATTCCTCCAGTTCATGAACTGGTACACGCCGTCAAGCTGGTCACACGTCTCCGGGCTGGAGCTGATGCTACACAAGACCTGCGATAATTCTTTCATCGGGTGAATGCAGTCCTCCAAGCCCGTGAACACGCATGATGACGAGGAATACCGACAGTCGCTGTCTCCAGGACACGGCGTCACGTACCCGGCTGCCTCACATGTAGTCTTCACGTTGGTCGACGTCATAGCGCCGCTGACAGGGACTTTGTAGTAGTGCCATCTCTTGTAAGAAGTCAGATATGACGCCTCTCGTTCTATAAGCAATATCCAATGACGTATCGATAAGAATCACCACTAGTACTGAACAATTTGCTAATTGGATTTTGACGACGTGCCATTTGATGGGTTAATTTGCTGGGTTACCAGATGCCATATACTAGCAGGATGCTTCTGCAATGATTCCGTAGCGTTGCAACAGGATTGTTATCACCTAAACAATTTCATCTTAAGGTAGTCTGTGCTTTTGTGGGTTTTATCATTGGCATCAGCATTTGTTGGTGGTTTGGTCTACTAAAAGGAAATCGCTTGTAAAACACCTCCTTGTCCTGTATATTGACGTATTGGACCTACTGATCGGTGTGTCCATTGGCTACACAGCGATGTTCATCAGATGGAGACATTGTGTCGGCAAACGTATTGTGCAACAGTAAGGACCTACCTGCAGGTTGTGAGACTCCACGTCTTCTCTATTGGCTCCGACTCCTAATGGAGACTGGCGAAGGAATTTTAGATCAATGTTTAGAACACAGTTAAAGTTTGTATGTATTTATCTATGTCATAGTATAAAAGACTATGACTATGACAACTAACACCATTAACACCATTGGACTCGCCCTACTCCGTGGAGTGGCTGTCAACACTATGTAAAAAAGACAATTCTGAAGACCAACTCTTGTGAGGTATGATCAGATAGAAACGTAACAGTACTTTTATGACGATTGCATTTATTCATTTATCAACGAGAAAAACATTCTTCAGATATGTACTCTCCGTTCCTCTTAGCCTAAATCTGTACTTAAACAGTTACAGCGAATCCAACAAAATCACAAAATAGATTTGTGACTATAACCTGCTGTGGTTATATTTCTATCATAAACACACCTGTGAATTTGTTGTTCGTGTTCCCAGATGCGTACCAGACACCACATCTAGAGGACCATCTGCAGAGAAAAACCATATTCTGTAGCCCTCTCCGCTGCGTCAGTTTTACCAACTGTTACTTCACTTTCTCTTGAAACTCTCTTCTGGCCGAGGGGAAACATGTGCTTAAAGGTTTACCAGTTCCTCAGTATCGGTACGTGTTGCCAAGCAACGGATGACATCAGCAGCAGTGACCAGACTAGGTGGATGTACCAGATGTCAACAAGCCCTTCCCGTTAGCCTAGATGCCAGACTGTTTTCAGGGCCAACACATAGGCCAGTCCCTCAGTTGTCTAACTGATTGGCCTGTGGTAGTATTACATTTCCTCGGGGACACGTTGGCCCTGGGGCCCAGAAGCTAGCATATGTATTTGTCAGCCCTTGGGCAACAGTCTGGCACCCAGGCTAGTCCCCTGTCATGCTGAATGAGACCATGCCACTGCATGATGTTCCCCATATGCTGTGCTGTCAGTGTATCTCTAGTGTTCGGGTCAAATCTACGTCCCTGGATTCACCGAGACTATGCAGAACCGTGCTTGATCCTAATCCTAACCCATTCAGGCATACAACTAGATAGGCACGGTTGTGGATACGATAGGCGTACATAGCCTATACCAGGCTTCGGGAGGCGGCTGGACTCATAGTAGAAATTAGCCAAATAGAGAGAGATAACATGCCGGGGGAGTTGGTCCGCTGGAGGGTACATTTTGGGTGCGGCAAAATGTAGAACAACTCCCCCGTCAAGTTATCTCTCTATCTATTTGGCCAATTTCTACTGTTTCAAGCCGCCTCCCAAAGCCTGGTAGAGGCTAAGGCGTACCGGGGAAGGCGCCGTGAGCGCGGCTGCTCTGCCCGCGGGACCGGTACCTCCGGCTGCTGATGCTCCCCCTGAACCTCCCGGATCGTGTGTTCAGCCGGCCCCTGGATGCTACATGTATAATGTAATGATGTGGACAGACTAGTATTAGTAAGCAGTTGACGAACATTATATTGGAGAAACTCCTAAAACACACAAATAGAGGACAACAAAAGCTAACACAGGGACCGTGAGAATTTGTATACAACCTAACCTTCTTGGCAGAAACTTCCAATTCCGTACACAGTTGTGAAACCAGAGAAAGCTTCCTATTAGCCCTTAACCACAGTTGCCCTTGACTTTAGCTCCGGGGCGTGCAGCATGAATACAGCTGTGGACTGTAAATGAGTCTGCCCATATTCCCCTTAGGTTCAGGAGTTACTATAGCCTAGATGCCAGACCCATAGCACACTGGACACCATTGAATTAGTAGTATCTGAGATACTTTGTGTCCAGTGTGCTATTGGTCTGGTACCCAGGCTACAGTTACTGAAGTACACGTACTTGAAATACAGGCGTTACAAATGATGAAAACATCTTTACTTTATACATCTACTGTACACTACAAATTTCCAGTTGTACAAAATATTGCCCCCATCGGTCCTCGACTACTTGAGGAACAGACTAAAGCTAAACAAGGCTGGGCTCCAGGCTACATCGGACACTTATAAACAGATAATTCAAAGAGACGATCTTTACTTACCAGAAACCTCACACGACACGAGGCCCAAGATCACCAGGGACGTTACCAGCACCTTAACAAATGCCATGTTTGTCTCCAAATGTGCGGAGAAAGATAACAAACTGACTGAGGAGAAAACACAGGGGTACCGACAGCACTGTCAGGATATCTACAACGCCAGTCGGAATCGTGCCCAGACGTATATACTAGTAGCCTCCAGAGCAGACTTCTAGCGGGGCAGCAGTTGTTTCTACGGGCATCACGTATCTGCTTGGACAGGATACGTCCTTCAAGTGAAAGTGTTGTTTTTGTCCCGTTTACAAAATATCACATTCACCACGAAACGGCTGCAATTTGATTGAAAGACGCCAGGGGGCGCAAAAGTAAACATCACTCATTCATTACAGATATCGTAATCTCCAAGCAGATCTCCAAAAGATAGTATCATATTGGTGACTTATGGACCCTCTCTGGCGAATTAAATGGATACTGCCTGGCCAATTTGACACCGTCTTTTGCCACCCTAGGATCTGCTTGGGGATTATATATCTACCCAGAAACAAAACCAGGAAAATCCACTAACAGTCTTGCGTCACTAGGAAGAATGGAAGAAACGTCGTTAAAAGCATTTAGTGTTAATCAATAAAGAGGATATGAATCCACGTAACGGTGGATTGGGTGAGAACAAGAAACGGGAAAGAGGAAGTAGGAGGTAAACATTGCCCGCTTTTAATGGACGAGTCCATTATACATGACAGGGGACGACAGCTGAAAAAGAGGAAGTATTGAGCGAAACTAGTCCCAGTTGGCCACGCAAAAATTTCCCGGTTGTGGCTATTCTAGGGAAAGTTAATGGAAAGTTTCCCTGTCAGTTAATGGAAGAGTCAATTTCATACGCCAGGGGACGACAGCTGAGGAAGAGGAAATACAGAGGGCAATTTGTCCCATCACCCGGGCCCAGCGACATTAGGGGTCGGTCGGAAACTACGGAGGATGGCACCCAGGCTAGGCCCAGTTGGCCACGCAAAAATTCCCCGGCTGTGACTATTTTAGGGCAAGTTTCCCTGTCCGGTGAAAGCGTGCTAAGGCCACACTGACTTAATTCTATGGATGACATCCTCCAAGACACACCCCCCCCAACCTAGTGTGCGCTGGCGAATACAAAAAAAATTGCGGTCAAAAATTAAAATGCTACTAAACCACATACGGGAATACAAAGCTGGTATTGTGAATTTGTAGTACGCATAGCGACTTTACAAGCCGACACACGCTGGCCTTTTTGCGGAATTTATGAATCGGCACTGTACGTATGAAAGGCTAAAATCAATGCGCGCGCGGATGTCATCCATAAAATTAAAACAGTGTACGTGGCCTAAAGCCCTGCCGGAAGTTGATAGTGGGCCAGCCGTGTAACGATAGGATAACGTCATGCCTATCTGGGAGTCATGTGAACAGCTGATACTAGTATTACACAGACCGGAACGATCACCGAAACTCAGGCTCCGCTCTGGACCCCGTATCTACAAAACAGACAGGACAATTTGAGGTACGTACACGGCTTATTATTTCTCCACATTTGATGATTCCTATAAAAGACTTCGTATTTAATACAGTGACATTACTTCGAAAGGGGCTATACTAGTATTTGATAAATTACCGATATTATCCACATAGTTACATCAGCTTACATCAGCTATATCGATCATAGATACTGTTATACAACATACAACTGAGAAACGATGCTCAGGCTTAGGAATATTTCTTATTCCACATTATAGTTATTCTATGAATATCATAAAAGATATCATTAAACAGGGATCCTACCCAGAAATCGTCAAGAAGGCCTCATTAATTATTCTATACACTATAAATGATCCAGTTCCGACCGCTTTTGCTTGTTTATATGAGCATGCAGAGTAAATTTTAATGAGAAAATGTGTGTTTTCAGGACATGTTGAGTTAGCCACACATTGTGTGCCCCCATACTCCATACCATGTGTCCCCCGCTATCCATACAGCCCGTATTTGTACAGGCGCTAACAATGCACCTGCTCTTCCCTTACAGTTAGTGCGCAGGCGCTGTACAAGGCACGTCCGAAGCCCAGCCTGTCAACAGGTAAGCCACCGTTGGTTCAAATTATACTAGTTTTTCCCTCGGCATTAAAAATCGTCTGCAAGATATAGTAATTTGTTCATCACCCAGTAAAATATTGGTTTTATTGAACACTTTCACATATTGGTAGAACGCATTTTACTAGTACACTATGGGTATATCGGTTGACACAGTAGTTCTCATTTTGGGACAAAGACTTCGGAAAGGGGAATAAAACACGGAACCTTACCTATTAAGATATCAAGGTGCTGTAGTTTCCAGTTGCAGCTTAAATATTAACGTGTAGCAGAACTAGACTTCCCCACATTTGCTGTCACCAATTGTTGGTCTTAAACTGCATTTTACGTCAATAATATTTGTTTTAATATGGATGGCCTAAATTCTGTTTCGCGTTCTGTTTGCTGATGTATCAGGTTCTTAGTGAGAGCTCGAAATAGGACACAAACTGGGCCAGGGTTAAATGTTGGAGAGTTTTTGAATGACAAGACATGACTCTGACCATGTTTGGTGTTCGTTGAGCAATGCATAACTAACCGTAATGTTCAAAACGGTTGGACATAATTACTAAGCGTTTCTGATTTCACGACAACACAGTCACCCCACCTACGACATTTTTGAGTCATTACATTATTTGTCAAGGAATCACTTTAAACTTTGAGCAAAAAAATGTTTCTTTTCTTTCTTCAGGAGGAGGTAGAAGTAAAACATTTTGTTTACATGTTTGTTTTCTTTATTTGTTTGGTGCTCGTTGAGCAATGTAGAATTAACTTGAGTGTTCGAAACAGTTGTTGACCATTTCTAATTTCACGACAATGTGCAGTCATCCCACCTACGACATTTTTTAGTCATTACACGCTGAAAGATTTGTCAAGAATCATCACGTTGAAGTTTGAAATGTGTTCCTTATCTTCCTTCAGGAAGAGGTAGAAGTAAAACGTTTTGTTTATTTGTTTGTTTTGTTTATTTTTGTGGCTACAGTTTCACAAACATGGGCGTGGTTATCAACCATTGCTAACTAAAAGATTTGTCTCTTCAAACTTTGAACAAAATTTATTTCCTTCTCCAGGACAAGGTAGATGTAAAAACGTTTAGTTTATCTATTTGTTTTATTTTTTTGGCTACAGTTTTACAAACATGGGCGTGGTCATCAACCACAGTTTCTACCTCGCCTCAAGACTGCACGACATGAAAAGGGCGGGAGAACTGTGTGACGTCACGCTGGTGGTGGATGAACATGAACTTCCCGCCCACAGAGCGGTCCTCTCCGCCTGCAGCGATTACTTCAAGGCCATGTTCACGTCCGGGATGCGGGAGTCTCGGTCCGACTCAAAAATCGTCATCAAGGAAGTCGCTTTCCAAGCCGTAAACCAACTAGTTGAGTACGCCTACACGGGCGAGTTGGTTGTAACCAAAGAAAGTGTCTCAGAACTCGCCCGCGCAGCTTCACTCTTACTCATGGACGAACCTTTAGAAATCTGCCAAGCAAAACTCGAAGAATGCGTCGACTTTGACAACTGCCACGACCTTCTCAACTTCGCGCAAAGCTATAATTTAAGGAAGCTGGAGGCTGCTGTGTTTGCCTTCATGGGGACAAACTTCCTCCAGGTAACAGGAACAGACCCGTTCCTCCACATGGATGTCGAGACGCTCTGCAAACTTCTGCAAAGTGACGGACTTAGAGTGAGCGGGGAAGAGGAAGTCCTCAACGCCGCCAAACTGTGGTTGAGACACGACTCCACACGTAGTAAAGACCAGGGACGTGTTTTGGAGCACGTGCGCTTTCCTTTGATGACGCTAGAAGAACTTTCGCACCACGTAAAGAGAGATTCCTTTCTGACGGAGAACAGCCAGGTGAAGGACTGTTTGTTAGAAGCGCTGTGGTTTCACCTGTCGCCGCTCGAGCAGAGCGTGGTGGAGGGGCCCAGAACCAGGGTGCGCGCGCCGGGGGAGAACTTGGTGGTTATTGGTGAGTTATATATACATGTCTATGAGTAAACATAGTCTCTACCAGGCTTCAGAGGTGGCTGGAAAGAGTAGAAATGGGCCAAACAGAGAGTTAGTCAGCTGAAGGAGTACAGTTTGACGCTCTGTACCAACGTACCAACTTCCCTGGCATGTTATCTGTCTATTCCTATTCCCTTCTGAAGCCTCGTAGAGGCTAGTGTACACAGGTGTGTTTATATGAATTATGAACCTTATGGCAATGGGCAAAATTTTTTTTCCACAAACATTGAGGCATTTATTTCGTACAGTCCATCTATTGGTTTGTTTGTTTGTTCTTTTTTTTAATTTGCGTTCTGTTTTCAGGAGGACGTAAGAAAGAAGGTGACACACTGCTGGACCAGGTGCGCTTCTATGACGAGAGAACGCGGGGGTGGAAGGAGGTAGCGCGCATGCCCAAAGAAACATGTCAGCACAGGTATTGCCAGAGGTCATTTGCTACAACGTATCGAAAATTATATAAGTCCACGTTTTTCAAACATAGTTAATCATATTGACATGGCATGATCGAATGATTTTGCTCTCTTGCTGTCGATTGATTGCTTGATCGATTGATTGAACGTTTGGTTGTTCGATTGATTTATCGATTCATTGATGGATTTATCGATTGATTTATTGATTGATTTGTCGACTGATTGGTTTATTGATTGATTAATACAGGGCCGTCGTACTGAATGACTTTGTGTACGTCGTTGGGGGACTGACCGAAGCCAACAGAGCATCAGCGAGCGACGCCTGCTACAGATACGACCCTCGGACCAACTCATGGCTGCAGGTAACTAACAGAAACTATAGATGTAACATTTGCAAAATATAACATGTACATAAAATGTTAACCTTCACATGGTCTAGCCCAACAAACTACTGCTCTATTTATTCGTACTCAAAACACATACATATACTTGTATATACTAGTAGTGACCAGCTCCTATAGCTCTGTCCTGCTACATAATGTAACCCAACACCCCCAGGTGTCTGCTACAGCACCAGTTACCATGGTGACAGACGTCTGGTCCAGGTCATTGACCTCATGTGAGCAAAAACAATGAATCAAACTTCAAGTAACACAGAGGCATTGTTTCATTGTATATCAAAAACTATGCTTTAATCGATGGTATGTTTGTATGGTGCAGGTGGCGTCCATGCAGGTGAGACGGACGTGCTTCGCGTTCCTGGAGTCGGGAGGACGTCTGTACGTCATCGGCGGGACTGATGGAGACAAGTCACTGGACTCCGCGGAGGTGTACGATCCGCGGAGCAACGAGTGGAGGTATGGATAGACCTAACCTGGGTGCCAGACTGTTTCTAGGGCCTACACAGGTCAATTCCTAGGCCCCAGGGCCAACATGCCCCTAAGGAAGTTATACCACGCCCCCCTCAGTTAACCTGGGTGCAAGACTGTTTCCAGGGCCTACACAGGCCAGTTCCTCGGCCCCAGGGCCAAGATGCCACCAAGTAAATTATACCAGAGTCATGGTGGTTAATTTTAAGCCTAACGTGCTGTGGGTCTGGCATCCAGGCTATTATAGACCCCTTCAGATGAACTTCATGGTCATTTTCTACATCATGCATAGTCTGGACATTTTCGCCTGTCCTTCCACTGTCCGTGACACTACATGTAGCACCCATTTCATAGTTGTTCATACAGAATCTTGCAGCTTGGTTTTATGTCTATATTACAACAGATACGTGGCGAGTTTCCCTGGCCATGTGTACGGGCACGCTGGGACGACTCTGCCGGACGGGCGGCTGTGTGTGACGGGCGGGTTCGCCAGGAACAGGTACCAGCGCTGGACCTACACGTACGACGTGCGACAGGACGCGTGGGTCAGGGAAACGGACATGCACACCAGGAGGGGATGGCATGTCATGCAGGTGGGTGAGCAACACAACTACCAGGATTCAGAAGCGGCTAGAAACAGTAGAAACCGGCTGAGTGAGCGGACATGTTATTTATTTGGCCAATTTCTACTCTTTCTACCCGGTTCTGATCAAACACAGGAATTAGGCCATGTTGATTTGATTATATGGATGACATCCGCGCGCGCATGAATTTTCGGCCGTTTCCAAAAAAAAAAAGTTTTCAACCATACTGTAAATCGTGCAAAACAGTTGCTAAATGAGCATAAATATACCATAAGTTGCAAGGAAAACATTTAGAAACGATACCAATGTCGTATAATGCCAAAATCAAAGGAAAAAAGACAAAAATGTAAAGAAATGAATTCGAAGAGTAGATTATTCGCCATAACATATTCTGTGCCATTTGTTCCACCTTCTTGACGACGTAGATTTCATAGTGAAAGCAACTTTTTTTTTGCAAAACTTTTTTTTATTCGCACGCGCGCATCAGTTTTGGGGTTCCCAGAGGATGTCATCCATATAATCAAATCAACATGGCCTTAGGGTGAACTTGAAAGTAGGTTGACAGCACGTGGGTGGGAAAGATCGACAGGCAGAAAGGCATGGAGGTCATAGGGTCAGACACAGGAAATGGGGTGACCAGACAACCAGAAATACAAAAGTCCAAGAACTTTTTTTTATTCACACCATCCTTTACAATTGCATACTATGCAATAGCAATTTTCCAGTATCACGCCACCGACTAAGTCTGGCCTTTCCCTAATAAACTTTACATTTGCCTATTCCCAGACATTTGGTGACGCTGTTTTCGTCCTGGGCGGCTGTCACCTCCGTCCGGACGGGTCCCGCACCATGCACCTACCCACCGAGCGGCTGGACCTCGCCTCTCGGCAGTGGAGCGCCCTCTCCCCGCCGCCCTTCACCGTGGGCGTCGGTCGCGCCGCCGTACTGCACGGGAAAATCTACGTACTTCGCGCGGCGGGGGAGGACTTGCCAGCTCTAGTGTGGTACGACGTCAACACGGACAAGTGGGGGTCGGACAGAGACATGCCGGACAAGCTGTCTGGGTCTACTATATGCACGCTCAAAATTCCGTGGAACTTGCGCTAAGAAAAAGAAAACAAGCAATCTGTTACTTCAAAATTCCCCGAAGTACAAAATTAATGTAACGTTATATATTACTTACTGCCCTTAATAGCGACTATGGTTCTCCAGTTCCTTCCGTCCTATATATATATATGCTTCAAGATCAAAACTATCACGTCATTTATGACTTTGTGCATAATGCATTGTATATATTCCTTGATGTAAGTGTGGATAGTTATCAGTTATGTTTTTAAATAAAGTAATGGGTGACATTGCATGGTGCTTATATATTGTTGATTTTTGTTTTTACTCTACATAAATAACTTACCTGACTCTGCCAGAAACTCTGTGTCAGCACTTTTTGCTGATGACAGCAAATGTTTAAAGAGATCCGCAACAAAAATGACTGCTTAGAACTCCAAGAGGATATCTGTTCACTGTACGATTGGAGCATAAGGTGGAAGTTGAGCTCTAATTTGTCCAAATGTAAAGTATTAAGACTCACACGTTCAAAGTATCCTATCAGCTATGATTATCAAATGTCTTGGTTTATCCCTGACTGTAGTGAACAGTATGTCTGATCTTCAAGTAACAACAAAATCAGACCTTAAGTGGGACAGCCATGTTGCAAGATCAGTAGCCAAAGCTAACTCAATGCTTGGCTTTGTAAAGCGAACTGTAGGGTTCCACTCCAACACTTATGTCCGGAAAACGTTGTAACGTTACCTTTCTCTTGTCAGAAGTGAGCTGGAACATTGCTTTAACTGTTTTTTATGCACATTGCCTATTTATTTGTCGACAAAAATAGAAAATTTCGGACTCCCAGGATTTTAGTGAACTTCAAGTTCACCCCTACAGTTTCGCCCCATTTCCTGTGTATGATCTTTGCACCTGTTATTCTGTCTGTCAATTCTCCCACCCTTTATAGTTACTCTACGAATATCGATATCATAAAAGAAACTAGAATTCCGAGATCTCATACCTCCATGAAATATGATCTTGATATGTAAATGTAAATTTCTTCTTTAATTGTGCAAATGACCTCTGCATTAACATGATATATGCATTGTGATGTATGTTAACTTTTGATTAACTTACAGATGTCCCAAGTATGACATTCTCATCATTCACCATTACAAAATCATAGAATTTTCGCATTAATTATGCAAATTAGGTCATCATTTGCATAATTAGTATCTGTTGAAGTTCCGCCTGCCATAGGTTACATACATTAAGTAGTATAATGTAAAACACTGTAATTATAGAATTTCCTTATTAATTATGCAAATAAAGTCCTCATTTGCATAATTTGCATTTAATTATGTACATGTCTCTCTCAGCTACCTACACACCAAAAATAATGAAAATATGTTGTTCCTGTCTGGACTTATTGGCTTTTAAACATTTCGCCAGAAAGTGCCCTGCAGTTCCAGAACAAGCCGCTAGGGGGCCCAAACTCATATGACTTCTTCCCAAGCACGAGAGCTACCTTTCATCAAAATTTCATGACCCTAGCATGTCCAGATTGCGAGATATCAAAACCGGAAGTTGCGCTGCAGTACCAAGGGAAGCCACTAGGGGGACAAAAATCTAATCATTTCCTGTTTTCGTCACACCCTACCAACACACCAAGTATGAAACCAATCCATCCAGGCGTTCTTGAGTTATCTTGTTGACCAACAGACAGACGGACAGATAAACGCAACTGAAAATATAACCTCCATGACACATTTCATGGAGGTAATCATGAAACATGGATCCTCCCCAAAGAAATCAACAAGACAGTCTGATTATTCAATACACTATGTTAAATGATTCCATTCCTAACATGAACGCCTTTGTTTGTTTAATTTGTATGAGCCTGCAGAGTAAGCTTTTGTAAATGAAAAATACGTAATTATACTGTAATTTAAGCTGTTGTTGTTGTATATAATTGTAGCTATTAAGTTTGTAATTGCTTATATTTCATCTTTTAAATGTACAGGACTCCAGAAAGACTAGTAAACAAACTTTGTATTACTAATGGAGATTCCTAATAAACACAAGAGTTCCGAGATCTCATACCTCCATGAAATATGGGCTTGATATGTAAATGTAAATTTTTTCTTTAATTACGCAAATGAAACTTTGAAACTTTGAAACTTTATTAGAATAACCATTAGCGGTGGACCCTAGGGTCCACCGCTAGTCTTCCTGGTATTCATACATGTACATACAGACGATACATTATACAAACATAATGGACAACTGGTCAAGTCACAAACATATCTAAAACAATGACATATTTACAATATACATAATTTTAAAAAACTGACCGCTGCATTAACATAATATATGCATCGTGATGTTAACTTTTGATTAACTTCCCAATGTCCCAAGTATGACATTCCCATCATTCACCATTGAGAAATCATAGATTTTTCGCATTAATTATGCAAATTAGGTCATCATTTGCATAATTGGTATCTGTTGATGTTCCATCTGCCATAGGTTACATACATTACATGTATGAACGTTCTATAATGTAAAACACTGTAATTATAGAATTTCCTCATTAATTATGCAAATAAAGTCCTCATTTGCATAATTTGCAGTTAATTATGTACATCTCTCTGTCAGATACCTACACACCAAAAATGATGAAAATACGCTGCTCCTATCTGGACTTATTGGCTTTCAAAGATTTCGCCCGAAAGTCCCCTGCAGTTCCTGAACAAGCTGCTAGGGGGACCAAACCCACACCACTTATTCCTGACAGGAAAATCTATCTGTCACCAAAAATTCAAGACTATAGCATGTTCAGGACCAAAGATAGAAAAACCGGAAGTTCTGCTGCAGTACCAAGGTCATCCACCAGGAGGCCCATATTTGACCTTGACCTTTGTCTTACTAAGACTTATCAGCATACCAAATATCATCACAATCCATAAAGGCGTTATGAAGTTATGCTGACTACAAAGTTGCGGAAACACACACAGACACACAGACACACAGACACACAGACAGACGCCGCCAAAAACAATACCTCCATTTTTCATGGAGGTAATAAACATAAACGTGTTTTCAGGACATGTTGAGTTAGTCACACATATTGTGTACTCCATACGATGTGATCATACAGGCCATATTTGTACAGGCGCTAACAATGTACCTGCTCTCCCCTTACAGTTAGCGCGCAGGCGCTCTACATGTAACGTTATACAAGGCACGTCCGGAGCCGAGCACGTCAACAGGTAAGTCACGACTGGTTCAAGCTGTAACGTCAAAAATTTTCAGGGTTAAATGTTGAGTTTTTCATAACACAAAATGACTGACCATGGATTGTGCTCGTTGAGCAATGTATAGCTAACCTTAATGATCTAAATAGTTTCAATTACTAAGCGTTTCTAATTCACGACAACACAGTCACCCCACCTACGACATTTTTATGTTTACCGAAGGAAAACATATTGTTTTTGCTCTATATTGCTCTATATTGTGGTACTTAGAACTTGAAATAAAATGAAATTGGTACATAATGCACTGAACCGTGATCCTATGGGCCAACATATATGTCAAAAATGATTTTATTGGCAAAAAAATAGGTGAAAAAACTTTTTAATCCAAAAAACTCGACCTTTAGACTAGAGCCCGTTTCGGACTTTAGATCAACGTCCGATTTCGACGACAGCGAGTCAAATGACCCCATCGCGGGCTGCCCAAATATGGGCATCCGCCCTCGTATGACACGGAAGAGATCGATGGACAAGTGTCAGTGGTAACTTTTCCTTTTGGCTTTTCCTTTGTAAAATACGGCCATACGAATACCAGTCTCGCGTAGAGAATATTGCATTGGGGTTTTGGGTTCAATATCCACCAGTACGACTGCAGATTTCCACAGAACGCCGGCGACATATTTCTAAGCGTAACTTTTTTTGTGACCACCG